CCTTTTTCCACAGAGAGCACTGGGAGAGTTCCCAGAGAAGGAGCTCCAGCTGCAGCAGGTGGATATTCAGGGTCAGGGAGTTTTAAAGAAGACTTCTGAGGAGGGGCAGGTCCATATTCTTGGAGACATGAAGCGCCTAAAAGACTCTTGGTTGGCCCTGTACGAAATGAGTCTGAATCTGCACAGGTACAAGAAAAGCACACAGCAGTTCCTTTTTTCAGCCTAGCTTAGTGTGTGGTACTAACACAGTGTGTGGTATTATCACAATACTGCTCCTAGCTTGTTTTCCTTTATCGCTCTGGCCTTGTCTATACCAAAAGGACACATCTTAGCAGCACTAGCTGCTGCTTGAGTCCTTCATAGACACATTTTTTAAATTATAAATGTGTTTCAACAAACCCGTCCTATCAAGGCTGGCTGTTTGCAGAAATGTCTCTAAACCCTCAGTTTACCTAAAAGAGTACAAAGACAGCATTGTTATTTGTTTAGTAACTGATGGCACCAGTGTCTGTAGCTTTTGTTTCTCCGTCTTAGCTGGCTGTAGATGTCTACTCAGATATTTGCTGCTTATTTTTTGTTTCTTAATGCTCTTAATGCTTTCAGTGTCTTATATTAGATTTAGTCTCTCTAAACTACGAAAGACTGTCCCCGCTGCATAAATTGTGGGAAAAGGATGGCAAACAGTTAGGTTTGGCTCACTCTGACAGATCTGTTTCCTAAATGTTGTTTTTTGATATATATAAAAACAACCAAGAAATCAGGTTTTGTGTTTAAAGTATGCACTGAGGTTTGACATGAAAGTTTCTGTCCACTGGTACCACTGACGAGTTACGACTACGTGAAACCTGGATTCCTTTGTCTTTCAGGTTGTTGAACAGTTCCAAAGAGCAGAGAGAGTCTGACTTTGCCAAGACGTCTGGCTCTATGCATGCACTTGGAGGAAAGTCGGAGGCAATGATAGGGCGGGTGGAGGCATTAATGACTGGCCAGGAAGGGTGGAACCAGGGCCAACGAGGTTACCACATATTGGCTGAACCAGATGTTGAAAATCCTATTTCATCAAGTAAAGTCAAGGGAAGTGCACTGACCTTCAAAACAGATGAAGTAGATTTCTCTGGCCACGAGCAGGGAGTCTCCAATGACAAGCCAATAGGAGGTAACAGCAGTGTCTTGGCAGAAGACGGAGAGGAAGCAGTATTATTTACACAGGCCAGCTATCCTCAGCCGCCAATGATTAGCTCTGGAGATGACAGCACAGAAGCAGGGGGATGCCTCATCTCAGGAGGAGGAGTGGGAGAGATCAGAAGACCCTCAGCCAAGAAAGCATCAGCAACACCAGTTCAATACTCAATGGTACTGTTGTGCAGGATTTTGTTATTTTCTACCAAGCTAACTTACAGCAACTTCCTGGATAAGTTATTGTTATGTTTTGTATGCTACTATAGTGCCCAAGTATCAGTGCACTATATCAGTTATGGAGCACTAGATGCTCCATAACTGGCAGACTGGCAAACTGTCCAGGGGTGTACCCTGCCTCTCGGCCTAAGAAAGCTAGGATAGGCTCCAGCCCTCCACAACTCTGACAAGGATAAGCAGAGGATGGATGGATGGATGTTCCATAACTAAATAACCAAAACCGTCAATGCAAACTGATCTAATACAAACAATAAACGCACAACATCATTGACTTTTATAAACCAATTCCAAAAAGGGTTTATGTGTGAAACACATTATTCAGTCGTCCCACAATTGAAGCCACTAACTGGTTGTTTTGGGTTTGCCTCTATCATGGGAAAGAAAATGCTTCTCTGAACCACCAGTACAATCACTGATACACCAAAACATTTGGGCTGCTTTGTAAAATGTAAATAAAAACAGAAGTCAGTGATTTGCAGACCTCAGAAACCGATAGAAGACATATCAAACATCTGAAATGAGAAAGTGTACTAATTTTAAGAAAAGAACATTTTGAATTTGTTGCCCACAACACATCTCAAAGAAGTTGTGTGGCGTTCCTTTTTCTTTTACCAATTGTCCATATGCAACTGTTGAACTTGTGGGAGAGGAAAATTATCCCATTCTTGTCTCATAGAGGATTTTAGCTGCTCAGCAGTCCAGGGTCTTCCTCCTCCTCATATTTTATATTTCATTGTGCGCCAAATGTTTTATGTTGATATAAGGTCATAGGTGCAGCTACTAAAAATCTCAGGCAAGTTTGAATCTCATTGTCCTCAACCTTGAGGTCAGACGTCATGTTTTCTGAAGACCTTGTGAATTTAATAACTAATACCATAGGTGTGTCGACTACGATGCTGAGGGGTAGCGCTGGCAGTTGCCGGTATTTTTTGAGTTTCATGTTGCTGCCCTCACATTCAAAATATGCGAATATTTTTAATAAACATTTGACATGTCTTCTATGTTCTAAGGTGAATAAAATATAGGTTTCTGAGATCTACAAATCAATGAATTGTTTCAATTTTTTTACATTTACTCTAAGGCCCAATATGCTGGGCAACAAAGACGCAACTTATACACTTTAAAATACTTTGGTAACATACTTTCATACTCTGGAACACTAAAACTGAGAGACTTTTTGGCAATCTGAAAATGCTTTTTCTACATATAAAATAAGTTCAAGTTTGTGTGTTAATATAAAATAGATTTTTAAAATTTTATTAAATCACTAGTCTGGGTTTAGATGGTTTTCATTTTTCACTTGGTGTTTTAACTAAGGTGTTTTAGTGTGCATGTAAATGTTTCATTACTTGTTTGGGGTTTTCCAGGGGAGCCAAGGACACCATGAATCCAGGAGGAAGGAGTTTGATTCTTGGCTGTTCAAACAGAATGAACTCCTCTCTCAGATTCTCAGCTCCAAAGGAGCAGCACACAGCGCCAAAGATGTCAGACTCAAGCAGGATACACTCAAGGTGAGCTTGTGAATGTGCAAACAGTCAGGACGTTTTTGTTGCAGAAAGATGCCAGGACAGGTGGTGGTCACCGGTTAGGCTGGATTTAGCTCAGGCTACCCAAATTGAGGTCTTGCCCAATCAGAAGTTAAGGGAAATATTTTATGTGTGTTCAGCACTTTAAAAACATGTTCAAGCGTAAAATAAAATTGTCTATACTCTGTCATCATGGAAACCTCTTAAATAGGAGGGAGAAACTACGCTCTACACAGCCTCGTGTTAAATGAAGCACTGAAGCAAAAAACTGATGAATTAATCGATGAATCCTTGTATTGTGATATTTTTGTTTAAGAAAAAAAAGATTTCTCTCATATCCATCTGAGATTTGCCCTAATTTGCATAATGTATGCCTGGCTGCAATTGTTTATTGTTATGGTGGGACTGTGAAGACACACACTGCAGTTATAGGTCTAAAATGCTAACATACATGTGTTTACACCTTTTACAACGTAGCCAATGAATCACAGACTATAATTTTACTGGTATGATGTTGGAAAAGGTAGCACAGACTGTTTGAGCTTCAGAACAAAATCTCTCTGATGCAGCACATCTAGCTAGACGGAGGATTTTGTCAACAAGAGAGAATGAAGCTGTTGGAAGGAGAACAGCAGGGCTTCATATCTAAATAATCTAGTATAATAAACTCTCTGCAGACTGTAGATGTGTTGGTATCAGAAAACACATCTACAGTGGATTTTTCTGAATAACCAGTTCATTATTTATTGATTTTTTTTCTTTTTTTATTGTGACTATATTTTTGATACTTTGATTATTTGTTTTGAGAGCCGGTATCTCTGAAACTGTGCTGTAACACAGTGTTATTACACACACTGTTGCAAATGTTGTTGTCACAGACCAACTCGCAGTAGACTCATAGTGTTCATATTTTTCAGATGTCACATTTCTATTCAGATTTGTGGTGCTGTGTCCACATGCTTCACATGCTTCATTCAGTCAATATTGATTGTGCTGAAATTACCGTCATGTCTCCTGGTGATTGTCACCGCTGTATCACAGTAATGAGGCCCATTCAGAAACTTGCAAAAACTAGCAATCTAGTAATAAAAATTGGTCAGTGCAGAATGTTAACTTTTAGTGAAATGTTTTGCATTTTGAAAACATTCGGTCTGGATATTTGAATTTCAGTGCAGTCGGCAACAGCAGTAAATAAACCTCTTAAGATGTGCGTAACCTACTACACACGTCTGTTGTAAGAAGGCTTTCAGGGGTGAAAAGCTGGATAAGCATTTACTGTCCACCGCACAAACTATTCAGTGACAATCACGGTAAAGTTAACAATGAAGAAATAAGAGACATAGCTGAAACTTTTTAAATAAAGGTTAAAACGACTGCAGGTTAGTTCATGCAGCAGCGTCCTGCTTTAAGTACACAAGAAAATCCTCTCTGAAACGTTACTGAAGATAAAGAGCGTGACTGGAAAACTGTGCATACAGAGAAGCTCAGTCCAGAGCAACGTACATGTCTACAGTCCCAACATCCAAATCTGCCTTCAGTCCTCAGTGACAGACCTCCAGCTTTAAAAACTGATGTGAGTACATGGATAGCCCAACACACTGCAACTTCAGAATCAGACTTTATTAATCCCAGAGGGAAACTGAGTTGTCATAGCAACAAACGTCAAGCACTCATATAAAACGAAACGTAGAACCAGATATTGATAGATAAGTATTAAGAAGACTATTGAGATAGAGGAGTAAATATAAATATACTTATAAATATAAAAGGACAAGTATGTGTGCAAATATATGTTGCAGTCTACAAAAGCGACAGGGTGCATTGAGGTGTGATTCATTCTGTTCCACATGTGTGGATCTGACCCAAGTGGATGAATTCAGCAGTCCGATAGCAGCGGGAAGGAATGACCTCCTGTAGCTTTCCTCAGGCAGCCAGGTTGAAGGAACCTGTTGCTGAAACTGCTCTTCAGATTGTCCAGTGTGTTATTATAATTTAATATTTCTTGCGCACCAGCGGGACTAACTCTGTACCTCTGCTCTGTACGCTGTCTCATCTCCATCAGCGATGACCCACCCATTGTTGGTGTACAGTCATAGGTGTACAGTAGGAGGCAGAGAATACAGCCCTGGGAAAGGCAGGGGCCAAGTCTGATTGATTGAGGCTGATTGGTTATTATGGTAAATAATGTTGTCATTACAAAAACAAGTTTTGTTTTCTAATGACTGCACATTATGCAGACTGGAACTGATATTAAAGGAGAGGGATGTGCTACATTAGGCTGACAATGAATATCGCTTAGAACTACATCATTAAATCTGAGGGTGTTAAAGCCTGTTATTTATTGCTGGTATATTAGCTATCAGTCAGTTATTACTAGAGCCGGTTGTTAAGGGCGTCATATTTCACTTATTAAGGTTCCAGTTGTTTCTCTTGAGAAGGTCTCATGGGTACAACACCGTACCCATGTGTAGCTCAGATGTTTTCCAGCCAGTGTTTGAAAATGCAAAGAAGAGCCTTTCACATCAATGTTATTGTTTGTGTCAACACTCTTTTATGTCTGCTTAGACATATCATAGTGTGTAAGGCTGTAATAAGGAACCTGATATGTAAATACACGAGTAGATTAGACCATGTAGAAAACAGTATAAGCCATGTCACAGGAAAAAAAATGGAGTAACCATACTAGTTTCCTGCATCAGGGTGAATACCAGTCCTCCCACATTCTTTATCCATGCAAGAGTCAGAATCTTTACAGCATGTTTTCAAAGTACTGCACTCTCTGATACTGTGGGAAAGAATTCCACATGTCAGCAACAGTTTTGCCTGAAGACCCACATTTACCACAACAATGAAGCTCTAACAGAACCTCTGGTTCACCTTGAGCCAGACCTCGTGGTTTTTTTCATCTGCTGAGTGGCTGTGGTTTTAGAACTTTGTATAATCTTGCATAACAATTGTTCACGTGTCAAAGTGATTATTTTGCATAGTGATTGTAGTCAGATTTTTTTAATGATCAGCCTGCAGAGCAAGTTAAAAGACACTGTTATACTGACCTCTTGTGGTTAAAATTTGAGTTTTGTTGTTCTAAATCTTGCATTTCGCCTCAGAAGTAGCAATCCAAACACCAGGAAAAGCCTGTACTGTTTATTTTATTAAAACTAGTTCTGTGAGTCAAATCTGTGTCCTGTTGCAGTCTCTGAGAGCTGACCTGTCCTGGGGTCAGAAGCAGTTTCAGCTGTTGATCCAGGATAGCCAGAGCAGTGAGGCTGGTACTGGACCAAAAGAAGAGGCCGGCCTGGAGGACCTCCGCTACCGCTGGATGCTTTACAAGTCTAAGCTCAAGGATGTCAGAGATGTGAGGAACAGGATCAGTTCCAAGGTGAGAGGACCGCTGACTTCTGAACATTATAGAGACAAAACTAGCAGGAAACTATTTTTCTTGGCTTCTGCTGTAAGAATGAAAAAGTCTAATTGATGTGTATTGATGAGGCTTCACCTAGGTGGCTGTAGCTCAGGCGGTAGAGCAGGTCGCCTATTAATCAGAAGGTTAGTGGTACAATCCCCTGTCTGCTCTAGTCTGCATGCCAAATATGCTGATGCATCCATCAGCGTAAGAATGATTTGCAAGCGCCATACCATGGCAAGCCAGAAAGAGCAAAGAGGACCAGTAATGTGTTGTGAGCGCACTTGGGGCAAACTTATTACTCAGGTCTGCAAACCGAATCACACTCGACATATCTAGTTAACAAATTAGAAACATTTGCATGTTTGTGTTTTCCCTGTGATGGAATCTATGTGGATCTTATGGTGTTAACTATGCATCCATCCATCTTGTAAACAAAAACAGGAGAAAGGTGAGGTAAAAAGTAACAGACTGGTTTCTGCATACATACAGCAGGTATCCGGGGCCCAAATGTAGTTGTTTGATTTTAAACAATCTGTTATTGCTGTTCTTTGCTAGTCTCACATTTATTGCTGTCTTTATGATGGTTTCTTAACTTATGTGACATACAAGAGATTTGTCCCCTTACCTTTTCACTGGACTGTGTAATGATGTTAAAGTTACGCATTTTAACAACGTTCTCTAGGTATTGAGACACGGCTGTTTATGTAAAAACATTTATATAAATAAAAACATATAATCCTAAAGGACACAGCGCAGAGTCTGGTAAAACACTGTAAAATAACGGGCAGGTTTTTTTCTCTGCAGAGAGTCTCAGCCACACAAGCGGATGCAGCCATTGCAGCACCAGCTCGAAAGGTAAGAGAAGAGTTCAGATATGTTCAAATGACAACTACAAGCATCCTCGGTCAAAGAATATTTCTTTCACTTTAGTTACAGAGTTGGTTGAAGTCTTGGAAGATTAAAATATCGCTACCTAGGTGTGCAACGATATTCGTATCGATATTGAACCGTTCGATACAGTGCTTTCGGTTCGGTACGCATATGTATCGAACAATACAACATTTGTAATTTATTTTATCAACTTTCCTTCTGACGATGCTGTCTGTGTTGA